GGGGGGGACGGTACGTGATGGGAGCGTCTCACCTTGGCCCCGACCTCCACCGGAGCGTCCTCCGCTGCGGTCTTCTCTGACATCCTGACGGGACGGGGTGTGTGCGCGCGTGTATATGAATGGGGGGGTTGCGCGGAGTAACAGCAACAAGAGCTTAGGCGAGAGAGAGAGAGAAGGCGCTCGGCTGAGAGGGGACCAGGTGCAGCTCCGAAGCTCGCTCGGCTCTCCCTCACGCCGACACCCGCTCCCGGCCGCTGCAATCCCGGGCGCCAGAGAGACCAAGGGTCCGCCTCTCCCGCGACGAGGCTCTGCCAGAAAAAGGGATTTGAGGGAGGCGAGAAGGGAGGGGCCTGCCGAAAGGGAGGGAGAAGAGGAGGGAGGGAGGGAGAAAGGAGGGAGGGAGGGAGGAATAAATGCAAGACCGCAGGCAGGCAGGCAGCCGTGGAAGGGTAATACGTAAATGGCCCGGGGAAGAGAGGAGGCTGCGCTTGGCAAAACAAAACCAAATGGTCGTTCACGACTACTGAATCTCTGGAAGGAGGGTTATTAGGGGAGGTCAGGTCGTGCCTCTATCCTGCTTTCGAGGGCCATGGAGTCCTACCGAGCTCGCGCGACGCCCTTGGGGAAGAAGCGGGTTCTCTCCCCCCCTCCCTCCTGCCTCTCCGCCCGCCCATTCTTTGCTTCTTTGTCCTCTGTTCCTTTGTTTGCCCTCCTTCGCGCGGCGCCGCCTGCCCTGCCCGAGCCTTCGCACGCGCGCTTGGGCTGCTGTACGTTCGGTTGTGTTCACTTCAGCCCAGACTGATCAGCACCCCGGCAACGACGACCGTGTGTGTGGCCACAACAGAGCGCTTTGCGAGGTGTCGTTCGTTCGTAGAGGGTTGAAGGATCGGACAAAGGGTTGTGACACACAGTAACAACACGGGGACGTGCGGGTATTCCAGGTGGAATCCGAGCCACAACACACACACACACACACACACACACGTGTGTCTTGCTATGGAGGAAATGTTTTTCCAGGATTAGTACCTCTCCGTGGAGCCTGGAAATAGCACGGAAACCGGTGCTGTTACTCTTCACATGCACAAACCGGAGAGGATCATATTTTCCACAGTCCGTAAACACGGTTCTATCCTTGGCCTCAATGAAAACTCTTGAGACTCATGTTCTTAACAGAAAGTTGTCAAATGAGAACTGAGCCATGTTATGTAACCTCCAGTATGCATCCTTTGTGTGGACCCATCATGACGGACGGAATCCACTTAAGGTGCATTAGTACTACTGTGCATGTCACACAAGGTGCTTCCAGGTGACGTTTTTATGGTGCAATCACTGCCTCTTTTATGGACGGCCCAGGTCCAGAGCTATCATTTGTAACCCACCTGTGTTTTCTTACCTCTTGCTCCAACATTTTTCTTAAAAGGGAAAAAATGATGAAGAAGGGAAAAGACAGAATAATAGCACCATGCTCTTTGTATGGAAGGGCTATGAGTGCTCCATAGGGGAGCATCCATTGTCAGAACAGTTAAATGGTGGGAATGTCATCCCAAGTGGGTGATTTTTATACAGCAGAACCAGAGGGTAGCAATTCTTTTAAATTGTTTGATTAGTCTAGAATGAAAAGTTTAACATTTTCCTTAGCTGTTTAGAATGTCATAAATGGGATCATAATTTGAAAAGGATCCCTAGGAAATTTTTCTAGTCTTCCTCTTTTCTTCCCCTTCCTTTCTGTATTCTGATTCACATATCATCACTAAGAATGATGACTGTTTGGAGTACATGCAAGCACTCTCATTTAGTGGTCTGTATATTGGACATGGAGGGTAGCACTACATTCTAATGTGATGTAAGGCTGTTCCAAAGCAATTAGGAAACAAAAAACAGGGCCCTATTCACAAGTTCACATTTTTTACTGTAGCTGTGGCATCAAGTGGTGGATGAGTTACCTTTTTTAAAGGGCCTACCTGGTGGTTGCTACTCAAATGTGGAATGCCCAGAAGGACATTTACCTGGTGCTTCCCTTAATGATGCTGTATTTCCATTCTAGAGAAAGGTCCTTTCATTTTCCCATACATTTCAATCTTTTCTATACACAATTTCTGTGCTGCACAATGTTTGTTTTTAATTCGGCCAGTTTGATACTGCTTTTTCTAGGATTGTAAATAGGCCATTTCAGATTTATTGCCACAGACAGCCAAACTCAGACAAGTGAGTCTAGAATGAAAAGATTATTGTTGTTGAACTGACAGTGGGCAATGTGGAAGTTCTGTCAGTGGTGATTAATCTGAAATTACCCATTTCACTGTAGCCACCACTGGACCTCAGACAGTGGAAGTCACCTGTAGAAGAACTTCTATTCAGATCTATTCAAGATCCTAGTCCATGGGAAGGAACAGAGAGAGAAAAAATTATCTTTCCCATATCCTAGTCCCAAGTCTTAAAGAATTTTACAGGTGAAAGCCAGCAGGTGACCTGTAAGTAAATGAGAGTTTGTCCATTTGGCAAAGTACAAGCACAACATTATAATGTCTAATATATAATATTGTAATATTATAATACTATAATATCATAATGTCTAACCCCCATTAACAGCCACAGTTTCTGAAATGCATTAAAAGGCAACTTAATATGCAACACATTACAATTTCTAATTTGTGGGGTGCAGAACATAGATTACTGAAGCCAGATGCTGCAGCTGGGACAATGGTCAAATGTGACAATAAGTCACTCTGTACCACAAGAGGTAACCTGCATTTCCAGTGACAAAGAGGGTTCAACCTCTTTGTGACATTGTTACTTTTGGAAGGGCAGAAGATTATGCAGCCCAGAGGAACATAAGTACCAGAAGTGGCCCGGCAAAACAACTTCCATCTTTTCTCAACCAACCTTCAGCTTATTGTCTCACATTCAGCTTATTATTTATTTATCTTTATGTACCTGCAAATAATGGACCAAAACCTATAGCTTGCTTATGCTATGTAACAGGATTTCAACCAATAAATTTAGAAACATTAAATAGAATTATATTATGCTATTAAAGTGCAATTAAATCAAAATACTAATATTAGTTTGCATTAAAAGAAAAAAAGATAGAAAGCCAGCACATGACATTTTGCTCCCAGAACATAAGTAAAAACTTAAAATTTGATGTCACTGCTGCATGCACCCAAGGACTGGTTTAGCACCATCACTGCCTCCTCTGAATGAGACGGGGGGGGGAATGAATCCCACCTGCATATGACACCTTCAGCCTGATCAGTCATTCATACAGTTTGTAACAAACAAACAAACAAAAAGCATGGGGGATAAAATGGAATCCCACTGAGCTTCACTGCTTAAATGCTTGCTAAGGACACAAATAATACTCCCCAGTACCATCTTCCAAAACTAGCTGTTTGGGACTTTGAGGACTTTGTGTACAAAATTTAAGACTTTGTGTACAAAATAGTACAGTTCTACCCACCACCACTATCTTATCCTCATGGGCACAGATATGGCTGCTTGGCTGCATCATATAATCATTGATCTCTGAGTCACTTGTTTCTTTGAGTTTCTTACTATGCGTTAATATCAGAACTTGATTTTTTTAGTGTGATAAGAAAAGACACATGAGTGGGCAATCAGCTCTTTGGATGAAGTGGCATAGTTTAAACACAGCTCCCTTCCTATTATTTTTGTAGCATCCTCCTCTTATATGATTGTTAGATAAAAGTGGTAGTAACAAAAGGTACTGCAGGCTTAAGGCACAAATTTGGATTGATGGCTGTTCTCAAATAAGGTAAACACCATTATTTAATTGGTCCATATTTCTCAAGCACACCCTGAGACTTCAGAGCCCAAACCCAAAGTGGGATATCTTTGTGATATCACAGACATGGGTCCTTGTGATATCACAGGGTCAGGACAGACAAAGAATCAGAGGGTGGCTAGAGTTGTTCTTGGGCCAGTTGATCATGGAAACAGCTGTAAGAGCAGCCAGGGCAAATGGACTCAAAATTCATTTAAAACCTGATTAAACACTTATTTGGTGTTCTTGTGCAAGGGAACCCCCTCCTGGCATATTTGCAGAACTTGGGCAGGTGGTAAAATGCACCTAGAAACTCCAGGGGTTGCCAACATTCCCATTAGCTTGTATGGCCTTACCTGTGTGGTGATTACTTCCAGGCCCTATGCTGCTATTGGATATACTGTACACCTTAACATGGTGAGAAGTTTTGAGTGTGTCAAGGAAGCCAAGAGCAATGCCACCAGGAGGCTAAACTCCATTACGAATCTGGACTCTTGCAGGATCACCCAAGGCAGAATGCTCAAAGCTGAAGCACCAGACTAATATGCATCTACCTTCTTCAGGATTAATGATCACATCAGCAGAAGAAAACTGACTCTTCTAGTGCTGATGGAGCATAGATACCCCTGAAGGGCAGCTACTGGGCAGTAGCAGTGATGGAAAATGACACTGGCAGAGGATCTTAAACAGGCAGTGACACTCAAGCTAACTTTTGTTATTACTGTGCAGAAGAACACAGTAGTAAACCATTTTTGATTATTTCTTCCCTGAAAACCCTATGTGAGACAATCCAAAACATACTGCTAGAAGACAAAACTCCCAGCTGAAAAGGCACTCTGTCACCAAAGGACAAGTATAAATGGACCTGTCACTAATAAGCAACTAAATTATAAAGAAGAAATACAAGGATGAAGAACAATTCTATGAAGAAGAACCTGCAGTTCTAGAAAAGGAAGTGAAAAATGCTTTGAAAGCACTTGGAAGAAATAAATCACAAGGAGTAGATGGGTTACTGATATACCTATTCTAAACTACAGAGACTGAATCTATCAAAATCTTCACAAGACAATGTTAACAAATATAAAAAACAAAGCAAAAGTCCACAGACTGGAAATATTCAGTATACATTCCAGTCTGTAAGAATGGAGATGTCAAGATGTGCAGTGACTTTAAGACGACTGCATTAATTTCCTAAACAAGCAAAGCAACACTCAGGTGTTGCAAAAAAGACTTTTACCATATACACACAGACAGAAACTTTTGACATTCAATATGGATTTCAAAAAGGAAGAGACACTGGAGATCATATTGCAAACATGCCTTGGTAACTGGAGCATAACAAAGAATTTTAGATTAGTTTGTGCTTTGTAGATTACATCAAAGCTTTTGACTGTGTGTATCATGAGAAGTTATGGCTTGTTCTAAAAGAAATAGGCATGCCTCAACACTGGATTGTCCTAATGTGTATCATATATTATGAACAATAAGGTACTGTTAGACAGTATATGTAGAAATGGAATTGTCTGCTACAGTAAATAGTGTCAGACAAGAGTGT